ATGATTAATAAGCTTTTAATTTGGAGATGATTAATAAGGAGTGGACGTCAGCTAATATTCAAGGAGTTGGTGTCAGTTATCCCAAAGAAAAGGCAACAGTAGGGTGAGCTTTTTAGTGTCTTTTTCTCGACGTTTCCTCCCTTCCCAGAACCACTGCACCTTAGTCAAATCAACTTATTTACATGTCTCGGCTGCTTGCTTGTCTCTCTCTCGTTGCATGCATGCTTTAGAGATCTTCTCCGCCTTTTAGAGCAATCCTGTTTTTCTCATTGCGGGTCAACCGCCTCTAACAACCCTCTTAATTTCTAGAACATACACGGTCGGCAAATTAATTGCGGAAATGCTTCTGGAATAATTAATTAAGAGCTAGAGCTGTTCTTTACTAAATCAGAGAACAGCTAGCCTGTCTTCGAAATTAACTATTCTAAGATAGCCTCGCATATCTCTAACTCTTTAGGGTTTGGATGGCTAGATATCTGAAAAACTATGAACATGTTATTAACCCCATCATCGTGCATCTTTTTTTTTTAATTAATATGAGTTTTCAAATTAATTAAGTTGTATTTATCTCAACTAATTTTATAAGCTCTAAAATTAATAATTATATAAATCTCTAATAATTTTAAAATTTATAAAACTCATACTAGTAAACTCTAGAAAGTAAATATAAAACTTAACTAATTAAAATATATTTCTCAGGATTACACCGTGCATCTTCTTATTATCTTGGGTGAAGGTGTAACAAATTAAGTTCATTTCCTATATATAATTTGGAATAATTAACCAAAGATTTAAATATTGATTTGCGAATGTCTATACTAAAAAAAGATCATGTGGGATTAATTCTGGTGAAAATCAATTCTAAGCAACGGCCGTGCATGTGGTGATTAGATGTCACAATGTCTTTCATAAGAGATAATTATCATTTTCTTATTCGTTGAAGAAAACCTATCATTTTCTGTATATAAAAAAGGTGCATCATTCTGAAAGCATTTTTTTTATGTGTGTGGTTTACATGAGAGAACATGTGCTGTTCTTCTTTATAAAGATTATCAAGGACAAAAGGTGGGGTATTTTCCCACACAATACTATTTTCTAGTACTTTTTTTAAAAAAATTAATTTAATTTAATAGTTTAAATTATTAAATAAGATTTTAAGTTATAATTTATGTTATTGTTTAATATATTCTTTTAAATAAAAAAATTTTAGACTTAAAACTTACACAAGTTTACTTTATTTTACATTTAATTTTTATCAAATAAATAAAAATAATGAGATTCGAACTCGTTACCATTTAATCATCAATATTTCAATATAATATTAAAAAATCATCTCAATTCAATAAATTAAACTATTAGATAAGATTCACAATGATATAATATATATTATTATTTAATAATTTTCATGTCTATTAAATATATAATTTATTAATAGTGCAAGTACTATTTACACAATCTATTAGATGCACAATTTACAAATTATGTATATAGTAAACGAGATGTGCTGAAATTTATATAAATTTACATACGTCGTGCATTCACTTGGTGTTTTTTCCTTTTTCAAATTCTTGAAAACAAAAATAAAAACCGTTTATGATTATTTTAAAGCTAAAAACAGTAGTTTTAAAAGTTATGTTTTTTTTTTAAATATAAAATATAAAATAAAGAAGTTCATGGTTACATGGCTACACTATCACTTATTCATCCCTGCTCCACGATCCTTGCACAACCACGATTCAATGTTACGATCCACCAATGTTCTTTCATGGGATTTGGGGCGTTTATTTAGTAGCTCGAGCAGCTTTATTATTGTTATTTTGCATGAAAAAGCAGAAGGGAGGGTCCATGCTGTGTCGCAGCCACTGAGCACCCGCAATTCTTCAAAATAATTACATGTTGGTGGCGCGTGCGGATCTACCATGTGCGCGATCAGATAATGCGCACGTGTTACATGCGCAACTTCATCTAAAGTGTTAGTGCTGCGTCACCATTGTATTGTTTCTAAGCTAGAATATAAATTAATTTTTTAACCGTGTTAATTTGAAAAATAAGTTTATTTACTGTGTTAATGTGGAGAAAAACCCCAAGATTCCTCAACAAACAGGATAAAATATATAACCATTCCAGATTAGAAACTTGTTGGGGTCTGTTTGCGGGCAGAAAGTCTCTGAAACAATGGCAGCGAGTATTTGGCACATTGCGCACCTACTCGGGTGACCAGAAATAAGACCACTGAAATTAGTTTGCATGGTTTTCGTGTGCCTTCTCTCTCACGGTTCCTATCAACCCAGCAGTGACCGCCATGCACAAATTTTCCTAACAACTGCTCCTAAGACTTTCCTTCAATGCCATATTATATATAGAAGCTCTTTATACAATCCCTCTCATTCAGTGTAGTCCTCTGCAGCCCCCGTCAAAAAAAAAAAAAAACACCAAACCTTGACATGGAAACCTTGTCTTTCCTCTTAACCCTCGCAGCTGCTACATCAGTTTATCTTCTATGGTTCTATCTCCTAGCCCGTAGACTTACGGGCCCAAAAGTATGGCCTATAGTGGGTAGCCTTCCATCACTGTTCGTGAACCGGAGAAAAATCCATGATTGGATTGCCGCCAACCTCCGTGCAACAGGTGGTGTCGGAACTTACCAGACGTGCACAATAGCACTTCCTTTCTTTGCTCGCAAACAAGGATTCTACACTGTCACCTGCCACCCCAAAAACATGGAACATATTCTTCGAACCAAGTTTGATAACTATCCCAAAGGACCCGAATGGCAAACTGCGTTTCATGATCTTTTAGGCCAAGGGATCTTTAATAGTGATGGAGAAACGTGGCTCATTCAACGCAAAACTGCAGCTTTAGAGTTCACTACTCGGACTTTACGGCAAGCCATGGCTCGATGGGTGAACCAGACAATCAAGAATCGTCTGTGGAACATTTTGGACAAGGCAGTTACAGAGAAGCTTTCGGTGGACCTGCAAGAATTATTGCTTCGCTTGACCTTCGACAACATATGTGGACTCACATTTGGCAAGGATCCAGAAACTCTCTCGCCAGAAATGCCGGAAAATCCATTTGCTATTGCGTTTGACACAGCCACTGAGGCTACTCTACAGAGGCTTCTTTACCCTGGTATCTTGTGGAGAGCGGAGAAGCTTTTTGGAATTGGAGCAGAGAGGAGATTAAAGAAGAGCCTCGAAGTTGTGGAATCATACATGGATGATGCCATCGCAGCACGCAAAGAAAACCCGTCTGATGATTTATTATCACGATTCATGAAGAAGAGAGACGTTGAAGGTAACCACTTTCCAATCTCTGTTCTGCAACGAATTGCTCTCAACTTTGTCCTTGCCGGCCGCGACACCTCATCTGTTGCTCTTAGCTGGTTCTTCTGGCTAGTCATGAACCATCCTGAAGTAGAAGCAAAGATAATCAAGGAAATATCAGCTATACTCACGGAAACACGTGGAAATGATCGCCAGAAATGGCTTGATGAGCCTTTAGTCTTTGATGAAGCTGATAAACTGGTTTATCTCAAAGCAGCATTAGCTGAAACATTGCGTTTATACCCGTCAGTACCACAAGACTTCAAATACGTCGTGGAAAACGATGTTCTGCCCGACGGTACACAGGTACCAGCAGGTTCAACGATTACGTATTCTATTTATTCTGTTGGAAGGATGAAGAGCATATGGGGCGAGGACTGCATGGAATTTAAACCGGAGCGATGGCTATCACCAGAAGAGGACAAGTTTGAGCCACCTAAAGATGGCTACAAGTTTGTGGCCTTTAATGCTGGACCCAGGACTTGCCTAGGGAAGGACTTGGCTTACTTGCAAATGAAGTCTGTGGCTTCTGCTGTGCTGTTGCGCTACCGTTTATCACTGGTTCCCGGTCACCGCGTAGAGCAGAAGATGTCTCTTACTTTGTTCATGAAGAACGGGCTCCACGTATTCTTGCATCCACGTACTCTTGCATAGGAGTGTCTCACCATTCTCATCAAATCTCTGGAGCTTGTCTTGCTCAACTTTGCATTGCTTGGTGTTTACAGGAGACGACCGAGACAGCCATTCAGTCACAAATCATGGGGGTATTACTGCCCATAATTCTGTTAAAGGATCATTTTTATTTGTTTTTTGTTTCCGTTTTTAAATTTCTTGTTCATTGCTGGGTTCTAAATCCAGTGCGTACGTACGTATACAAGCCATTCAAAATTAAGAGTGTTTGTCGTGTAATGTTGTATATTCGATATCAACAGATGTTTCTTTTATATGATTATGTGAATAAAAAAGAAGAATTTTACACTACCATTATTAACTCTTGCCTGCTGTGACGCTTAAGAATCTGCAACAAATTTCCTACCCTCCTGCTATGAGAGTTTTGTGCGCTCTATCACAAATGCACATGCATGGTTAATTTATAGGTCATGGAATGTCGAGCTGTAAATCTAAATACGTATAGATGTTAATTATTAAAGTAATGAGCTTCTCTTCAGTTGGCCTGTCAAGTTTCGCTCTCAAGGCTATTCTTTCGGTGCTGGGGTTGAGGCTGGCCGCAAAGGGGAATTAGTAAGTTACCTCACTTTTTGATAATCTAGAATCATAAGTGGCCCATCACTTGATCTGATTACACAAAGACATACATCTAATAAATGCCTACCATTTGAAAGTTGCATCAACCTGGACAAAAACTAATTAAAAGCAGAGATCCACATATAGTTCTATCAATTTCTCTGCGTAAAACCATTGAATCAAGCTCACTCTTCAGCAGAAATAAAACACTTGGAAAGAATTACCCGTTGTCCCACAGATTATTCCAAAAGATGTATACACGAAAATAAAAAATTACCCTAATGAAATTTTTACTTGGATTGATAATTAGATAATATAACTACTGCGAAAGCAAAAACAGATGAAGAAACATGCTTTAAGATCATAGAATTGATTCATTAGGTATTGAATGTAAACATTTACAAGCAGCTTTGGAGATACTTTACAGGTATATTCTTCATTGAGATGCATGAAATTGTTTCATTTGTGCCAGAGGCCCTGGCATTGCACGCAACACAAACTTTGAGCTCAATTTTGGCGTTCAGAAATTTTGCCAGTTCTTCAAGCTCAAGAGTTTTGTATGAAGTTATTTTTCTAGTTGTTCTTCCATTTAATCTCATTCACAATTTCACTTTTTCCCATTCAATCAACTCATCCTTCTGTATTGGTGCGGGAATCACTGGGCTAGCTTGAGCTGTCACCGATGTTAACTTCCATGAAAGCTAATCCAATATTTTCTCACCCGTTGAAAAGAGGTTCCAGACCGCTGTTCCAACCAAGTAGAGCCCAACTGAAACCTTGAAAACATCGTCCCAAGAACCTGAGAAGGTAACGAGGGAGTGAAGCAATGCACAAGAATCAGATGGTATAGGATTCAGTGTCTCAAATTTCGATAAAGAAGGCAGGGAGTGAGCCACACAGGAAACGGCGATGTAAAACTTGGTTTCTGAAGCATTCAAAAGCTTGAATTAAAAGGCAACAGTTAACTAAGGCAATGAGAATCTAGCAGGGTAACACGGTCATTTCCCTATTCTCTTTTCTGTATTCAAAATGAGGACCATGTCCACAGAATCTTATCAGAAAATCTAATGGAATCCTTAGTTTTTAGCTTCTAACAGTTTGACTTTCTTTTTTAGAAATAGAAACAAATTCATTACAATTTACAACTAGAGGAATTGAACATTGAAGCCCAAATAACTGTTACTCCAAGAATGCAACTTCAGTGTGAAATAGGCTACATTTTATGACGAGTGACGCTAGGCGTGACAACATTAAATTTTCCTCAAGAAACGGTTTCAAATCCTCTCATGTTCAGAATTCCAAATTATCTAGACTAAGAAGGAGAATAGTAGCTAGTTAGTTTTTTCCATCTAAAATATTCTAAAATCATGACCATTCATTTTGAATTTGATGATTTAGATTTAGTGAAAACGATAGAGCATACGAAATACAAACATGAAAAAACCTGAATCTGAAAGAGTGAATTTAGTGAAACTGTTAGTACCCTACACCACGCAGTAGGGGCAATCCTTTTTCTTTTTTTTTGTTTTTCTCCACTTTTGCTTTATCTGGTTTTACTAAACCTTGCACTAGACGATGGGAGGCAACCCTCTTCATCCTCTAAAAACCTATTATAGGATTTGAATATGAGACCTCCAATTTGAAAATCCTAAGTTTTAACCATCCAATTGTCCTCTTGGAAACTAGGACTTAACTCTAATACACAAAGTTAAAAACAGCTGTCTTTAAAACCTTAACAAGGTTAATCTGAACGAAAATTCTATTTTTGAGCCTTCAAATTGGTCTTGACTAAAATTGATCCAAATCCAAGACCAGAATGACTGAGCTAGAAGTGACTTGGACCACTTTGGCATCCTAGAAAATTTTTAAAAGAATTCTGTTGGTTTTCTTCAAGGATGGTATAGTAGACTTCCGAGTTTGTCTTACCAGCAGCACTTGGTCTTGACTAAAATTGATCCAAATCCAAGACCAGAATGACTGAGCTAGAAGTGACTTGGACAACTTTGGCATCCTAGAAATTTTTTTAAAAAATTATGTTGGTTTTCTTCAAGGATGGTATAGTAGACTTCCGAGTTTGTCTTACCAGCAGCAATAAATGCCAAGGATGAGCTCTTACCATGCTGCAAGATGTAACCAGTGGCTGCAGTTCCAAACACCCCTGCCAATACTCCAGCTGTATTGGATAGACCAAGCAACACTCCCTGGAAATAAATTACAAATAAAAATAGAAACAATTAAGTAAACATTCCTAGGAAATAGAATCAATGACAGCATATAACAATACAACAAAAACAAGCCAGATTTAGGACATCAACAGACAACAGCATTACAAGGATTGATACTCACAGAATATCGAGGGGCAATATCTTGATGGTTTGAATATAGACCAGACTGGGAAAATGCATCAGTTCCCTGTTGAAGAAAAAGAAGCAGTTAGTTCAAGAGAAGAGATTTATAAACAAAAAAAAAATCTCATTCCACTAAAGCTAAAAGGATACAAAAAAATAATTAAACTCTTAGCAGAAATTTCTCTGAGTTGAGATGAGACAACAGAACTCCATGTATGGTCGGTCATAAATCGAACTTCCAAGACAGAAAAAAGTGCGAACATATAAACCATAACAAATGGTAAACAATGTGCAACACCTTTGCAAGTCAATACATATAAATTTGAAAAGTGGAACGGTGCATTTTTTGATGTAAGAAGCAAACCTGGCTGCATGCCATGCACAGAACAGCCACTGCAGGAGAATCAATGTGACTCAACTGGGTTAGGAAGAAGGCAGGGCCAAGAAAGCCAATTGATTGCATGATCTGTTAAGGAGGATGGAGAGCATGTTCAACTATCCATACAAAGTTGAACAAGTGACATGATGAAATAAATAGTGCTTAACATCACTATTGTAAAGTATGTTTCATTTGCCATGTAAAATTGAAATTGAATGAACGAAGAAAGTACAGGAAATAAACAGTGCTAAGAAGAAGCAAATAAAGCAGAGATGATAAGAGAGGGGGGTTGGTGAATTTTGCACCACCCTTAATGCTACCTTACGGACTGTTGTTACAGATAAACCTTTGCTCACAAGAGTATCTGCAATCCAACCTCCCAAATTTGCAGAAAATGCCATTGTAAGCCAGGGCAAGACACAGAAAAGGCCAGATTCTGTAAGATTGAACTTCAAGACCTGCATGGCCAAAAGGAGATTCTGCTCAGTGGTATTATCGAGAGAAAGGTTGCTTTTATAGAAATGCAATTGCCAAGCTGTAAATCTCTTCTGCAATTTGTCAACAAGAAGATAGCAAAACTGAAGGTCAAAGAGACAGTAGCATGTACTTCCTTGATTCAATGCATCGTTAGAAGAATTTGAAAAGGAGGTTACGGTACAGGATAGATAAATTGTAAATGAACTGTGTATCTCATAACAAGTAGCCTTTTATGGTTTCGTTCCTACCTGTACCTCACATGTTACAATGCGTGAAGATAACATCAACAAGATTTTTAAAATGAGAGTCTATGACATATAAAGGGTTATCTAATAAGGAGTAAAAGATTCACTTGAAAATAACAGCTTCAAGGCCAGCCATCCCATAGTAAGCAGCGAGTCACAACACCAAGTTTCTCTAGTCATGCAAGTGATACATGGTTTCCCATTGATTCTCACCACTTTTCGATTGATTTATGACGACCTTGACCATACATTATTCGTGGTTAATGGTTACTCCATTGACTATTTTACCCATCAGCTACCTAAGATAAAATCACTGGCTGCAACTCATGCACAACAAGACAAATGGAGTCCAAATGTCAAATGAACAGTTTAAACTCTGAGAATTCTCAAGATATCTGGGATATGTTTTTATATGTTACAACAGGTCAAATCATTCAATCTCGTGATGGAAAAAAAGACTTACTTGATTATAATATGTTGGCATCCATGTCAAAAGAATAAATGTTCCCCAGTTGTGACAGAAGTGAGACACTATTAGGGCCCATACAGGGGCTTTCGACAAGATTAGTCTCCAAGGGATCGTTTCAACAGGTTCCTTGGAAAAACTGTTCGCAAAAATCAACTTCTTTTCTGCAGGCCGCAGCTGAGGATCGTCGAGAGGTGAACTGTGTGCCTATATGTAGAAAGAATGAAAAATGAGCATCTTGAAAGGTGACACATTCTTTATTAGGGAAGAGAACCCTTGATTTAAAGCAAAATTTGCACGAGGAATCAGAATTTCCATGGACAGAAAAAATAAAGGCTAAACAGAGGTTTAATCATCCAGATTATGGAACTTGTTAAATACCAAAAAGCTTCTTGTAATAGTAATGGAATTATAATTTTACTACCTCTGCAACTTCCAATAAGTTGGCAAGAAACATGCCATATGAATAACAATGATAATTTACAGAGAAAATTTACCTTACTGAGCCATGCAGCAAACCAAACCGTTCCCAGAGAACCGAAGGAGTAAAAAACCGATGGCCATCCAAACTCATGTATTAAAAATGGTGAAAAGGCCAGGCCAGTAACTGATCCAAGGTACATCCCGCTGTACACAAACGCTAATGATCTACTCCTCTCTGATACAGGAACCCATTTGGACAGAATGTTATTCATGGCAGGCATCGCAACACCCTGAAGCAGTACCAAATTAATTTAACAAACATCCAACATAGAATATGACACAAAGTCACTCGTTTTTTTTTTTCTTGCTAGATAACTTACCTCACCAATCCCCATGAAAGCGCGAACAACGAGTAGGAAGGGCAATCCAACTTTAGCAGCAACAGGAGTAAGAATCGTAGCAATGGACCACCAAATGACACCAAATCCCAAAACCTTCTTCCCGCCCACTGTGTCCGCCCAAATGCCACCAGCAATCTATCAATTAGAACAAAAAATGTGAAATAAAATTATTATTAAGCAAATACATAATAATAATAATAATAATAATAATAATAATAATAATAATAATTTGGGGGGTGGGGTGGGGAGCATGTTAAAGTTACTTGTGTAAGTAAGTAGCCCCAGAAAAATGAAGACTGGATCAAACCGACGGTGGCTGGGTTCCAATTGTTCTCGGCTGACATTGGAAGTATTGCAATGCTCATATTTACCTGCCAAGCAGCATCTGCTCATAATTTACTTCTTAATTACCCCAAAAAAATTAAATATACTAATTATTTTCCATAATCGGAGTTAGAGTACTATTTTCTCCTCTTTATAATAATTCAACATAATAAGAAGGAAAAAGAAAAAAGAAAAGCAAATGTGGGCAGCATACTCTATCCATATTGCAAAGAAGAAAAGCCGAGAAACAAAGAATGACAATGACCCATCGTTTAGGGAACTCTTCCCACCACGGCATCGTACTATCCAGAACAACATCGTCCAAAGCATCCTCCTCCAACTTCACCGATTCCGGAACCGACTTCAATATCTCATACGGCTCCGACTTAACATCAGCATACACTTTCCCTGTCTCACCCCGACCCGAATTCCTCACCGAGACCCGAGAAACACAGCCTCGGTGATTATGTAACCGGACTCGAAAATTAAGCCCCTCTCTAGGTCTTCTTTTAGGGGATGAGATATCGGGAGGAGATTTTAGAGGGCGAAAAGTAGGGTCTGTGAAGGAGTAGAGAAGAGCTCTACTAGTGTTCATGGTGGTGACGTTAGGAAGGGAAACTGTTATTGCTTTTTACCACATTTGAGCAAGAGAGCAGGATATGATATTTTGAATAGTAGTAGTGGAAGGGATATTTATGCGGGATTGGTACTGGTTTTGACATGTGTCCTCCTGTGATTGACGGGGATTTTAGGCGGGGAGTATAACGGAAAACAATATCATCTCCCAGTTGAACGTTGGGGTTTTACTGTTTAATTGGCGTGCTGCGGGGTTGTTTAAATGTTTTTTTACTATAAAGAAAATATTTAAATATTATTAACATATTTTTTATAATACAAAATTTTAAAATATGATATACGCTGAATAACATTTTAAAAGAATATTAATATTACTGGTTGGTATTTATTATAAACAATTGAGATAAAAATACATTAAGTTGTTTTTGATTATTTTTTTAAATTTACAATTATTGTATTATGGTAATTTTATAGAAAAAACCAAAATCAATTATGAAAATCAATTCTTAATTAATATAATATTAAATGATTAAAATATTAAATAAAATATATATTCAAGTTAATATGAGTTAACCTATCAAACTTGTAACTTAAATTGTGAGATTGAGATAACATTATATAAAAAAAATAAAAGAAAAAATATTTACAAAGCTCAATTTTCAGCAAATTTAATATTAAATAAAAACATTATTTAAAAATAATAAAAAAATTAGATCAATCTAAAATATCTCATTAAACTCATAACCTGCTTTTTAACATTTAAGATAATGATAACTTTATAAAAAAATATAAAATTTTATTTTTAACAAATTTAATATTGAAAATTAAAATTCAAAAAATAAATAAATAAGATGAAGATAACTACACAAAATTCAACTAATAAAATAACATGAAAATAAATTATCAAATAATCTAATAATAAAATTTTAAAAAATATTTATATAAAATAAAATTGAGTTGTTGAAAGATGAAATTATATATATATATATATATATATATATATTCAATTAAAAAAGAATTAAAAAAAACCCGAGTTAATTTATAAAGTACGTGATTTAAATCATGAATAATTTCATAAAAATAAAATTTAAAAAAAATAAAAAATCTTTTTCTTAAATAAAACATATTCAATTAAAAAGAGATCTAAAAAATAGATTAGGTTAACTTGTCAAATCTACAATCTAAATTACGAGATGAAGATAATCATGTAAAAATTAAATAAAAAAAATTATAAAAATTAATTTTTAACTAATTCAATATTAAAAAATAAAATAAAAATAATTAAAAAAACTCAAATTAGTCTAAGTTAATAAACTCATAAATAAATAATAAAATTATAAAAATTTATATAAAATAAATAAATAAAATTATAAAACCCTACTTACAGCATCTCTAAAATTAAATCTCTAAAATTAAAGGTTGAAAGCTAGAAGAAAAAAAAACTAAATTTATAACACCTGTATATAATTTAATATTAAATAAAAAAACAAAGGATAATATAAAAAATAATATAATATCAGAAGATTGAAAAAAAAAACAAAAAAAAATTAGGGTTACTAAAAGGAAAAATTGAAGGGAAAAAAATAACAAAAAAACATTGTTATTGTAGTGAATATTATTTTATAGGCATTGCTATAATGATTTAGCCTGTAGGTGTCATGTTAATGTTAATTAACTAAGTGTGTTTTTATTTCGTGGGCTAGAGATAACAATAAAGTTCAGGCCCATTAGTAATTTGCTGAATTTTGAGTTCGACGGGCTTTGGTTCGTGGAAAAGAACCTAACCCCGGTCATGGGCTTCTGTTTGGATCCGAACTTCAAATGCTATAGCTGTTTATTTGGGCGATAGCCCATGCTCTGCTCCAAATGATTTATCCTAATTATTAGTTAAGCTTAGCTGGGAGGAAAAGGCCAGCCATGAAGTGAAGTGAATGAACTACTATGTAGTTCTAAATAATGTTGGATAAAGAAGCATTTTTACTGCTTATTTTAGTAACTGATATTGCAATGTGATGTGATAGATGGTCTTAAGCCAGTGATAAATGATTCACAGTTAATTTCTTTTTTAAATTAAATAATAAAAGCTTGGTCGCTGACCATGTCCGGTTGCATTTTATTGTGAGTGAATTCACACACTCGAATGACTGTTTCCCTGAAATCAATTAGCTAGGTAGGGTAAAACAATATGTTCATTGAGGTTTGTTTGTTATTATTAAATTAATTGGAAATATTATATATATATATATATATATATATATATTTTAGGTGTGTAATGAAATAATTTAAATACCCTTTCAAATAAAATAAAAATTAAAGTTGGGGTCCATGGGATTTTTGGGTTTTTAACTATTTGATTAGACGATAAAATAAATACAAAAAAAATGTGGTCCAGGGTCATTTTTATATCTTTATCAAGTTGAAGTCAACATTAACGAGTATTGTTCATAATAAAAAAAATTTAATTTCTTTTATGAGTTATTAGATGAAGCACCTCTGTATAAATTTATTAACTCATCAAGTTAAAAAACATTATTTTTTATAATTTATCTATTATTGTTATTTTAAACGACTTGAATAAATTTGATTTTCACTATGGATAATCAAGTATCTCTTAAATGATTCTTTTTAAATAAAAGAATATATATATATATATATATATATGAGAGAGAGAGAGATAAATTTGTTGACATTATTTAACAAAAATAAAAATAATATATATTAATTAATTATGTAAACTATATAGATAATATAATGATAATTTATCTTAAATTTACTTAAACTAATTCATTATTAGTTATTTACATAAATTCAAATTTCTATATATTTATAAAAAAATTCAATTCATTAATAAAATTGATAAAATATAAAATAAACTCGTTAAATAAATTATTATTTATTTTATTATAAAACATCTAAGCCAAAATTCAAATTAAATTTCATCAAATATAAATAAATATAATTTTATAAAATTTCAAACAAACCATAACATATATGAATTATATATTTATACAATAAATTTCCATGAAATAAAACTATAAATCAAGAAAAAATTAAAATAAAATATATATATTACAAAAATATATAATAAAAATTAACATTTTAAAATTAAATTCAATTAAAAAAATAACTAGTTTTATTTATTTAAATTTAAAAATTCTTAATAAATTTTGAATTAGATTATATAGGCTAATAAAATGAGTGTTGGGATGACTGAATTTATAATAAAAAGTTGATTTATAATAAAATTAGAGTGGGAGTTTTATGGTGTTTTTTCTTAATAAAAACAGAGAAAGAAAAAATAAAAAGGGGAAAATAAGAGTAGCTCGCTGTATAATAAATTAAATATTATATATAAATTTATAAAAAAAATAAATTTATTGGGAAGTCTAATAAATAATGATACATCATTGTTCATTTTTATTGATATTTATTAATGAGTATAATAAAAAAATATTTTATTTGTAAAATTAACTATAATCTGACGGAAGAAAAGAAATCCGCAAATGTACGAAGAAAAAATAAAAACTCTGGGTCAGAGTCATCAATGGCGTCAGAATTAGAGGCCCCGTAACTGGGTCCGAATAGACGCTTCATTAGGTAGCTCTCCTCCTCACTGCCATGAAACTGGCCAGACTTCATGACCCAGCTGCCCCCCCCTCCCTCTCTTCGACGACGGCAAGAAGTACAAGGGATAATTCTTTCCATTTTGATAATCATTGCAGCTGTAAGACGACCGTGGACTGTAAACTATATAGTATAAAGTGAAAATGCAGTGCCATTTTTTTGTTTTTTCCACTTTAACGCAACACGGCTCTCAATTATTGTAAGAGATGCGATGACTTGAAACGAAAGGCTAGTTTACATGTAGATGTGCCAGTGCTCATTATTATCATTGATACCACATTTCATCGGTTCGAGCCCATATGTAGATTGCCCTGGTTAGAGAAAATTAAGCACTTTCCCAGCCAAGAGGCAGCGGTCCCTTGGCATTTTGAAGGTGCGATAAGTCACTGGCGGTTCCTCTTTCGAAAAAAAATAAAAAATCTTCCACAATATTTCGTAACCTATAGACGAGGACAAGAGATGTGCGAATTGTTTGGGAATGTAATATAAATTATATTTTTAAAAAATTTAAATTTTTTTATTAAAATTTAATATATTTTGTTGACATGTATTTTAATACAAAAAAATATTTAAAAAGTAACTGTAACCACACTACTAAATAGACTCATAATCAAAAAACAATTAATTTTAATCATTTATAAAAAGATAAGATTGAAAAAAAAAATATATCAAACATAAGTGATATACTATAAGTTTTTTAGAAAATACATTTTGATCATTGAATTTTGAAAATCATACAAATTATATAATTTTAGTACTTCAATATTTTTCCTATTTAATTTGATAAAAAAATTATTTTTATTATTTTTTAGTTCTTAGTTGAGAGGGAAAGAGAGATGTCATTGAATTTCAGTAATAAAAAGAGAAGAATATCATTAACACCAATTTAAACTATTAAAATAGACAATTTGTATATTAGATGGTTTTAAGAAAAGTTTATATTAAGTGTTTTTTTTTTTTACATTTGATATTTGGTATTTGAATTTGAATTGATTTTAGTTTTTGAGTCATTTTTAGGGGTTTTTAAAAGCATAAAGAGATCTATCATAATTCTTATAATATTTTAAATAAAAAGGTTGAAAAATAGTTTTTTAATAAAATAAAACTTAAACATGATTTTCTGCCCACAACAATTATCATAATGTATAAATCACATGACGCATCATCTAATGTTTTTCAAAAAATATTTAGCGCAGGTGATTACAAATAAAAAATTAAGGGTCCAATCACATGTTGTATTTTATTTTTAGATTAAATATCTTGATTTATATTTATTTTTTATTAATTTTTTAAGTTTTGTTTTTATGTATCATTAATATTTATTTATTTATTCTTATACTTCGTTCTTAATTTATTTTATTATATTTATGTATAATATTTTTACTTTAAATTTATATTTTCTAAAATATATAAATTTATTTAAAAAATTATATATATAATATTTTTTTTTAAATAAGAAAAATCTAACTTGCGCTAAT